CCTGAATGATGTACCAATGTGTCATTTAACTCAATTAGTTAAAAAACAAGATTATAAAGATGATGTTAGTATTGATCATGTTGTTCGTGCTATTGATGAAACCCATGAAATCACAATTAACTTTATGTAGAAATAAACGTGGATGAAAATATGCCAATTTTTAATAGCGTTATTCCGTCACGACAATTTTTTTCTATATGTGAGACAAACCTATAAATGTATTTTGAATTTTGAATTTTGAATTTTTCTATGTATAGCTTGTCATCTCAGCTACAACTTTTCTATAGACAAGTTTTTAATCACACTTGTAGATGATTTAAAACTTTTAGTTCTTCATACACCGCTGAAACTTAGAGTCCATTTTTAGTTATTCCATTACACTCTTAAAAAAATCGGTTTTTTACCGAACCCCTAAAAAAGGTTCCGGAGATTTCGAAAAGCATCCAAAGGTGTCGAAAGTCTGAAAAAAAGGATAAAAAAATCTACGAAACCTTTAAAGGTTCTTACGGTGTACCCAGGATAAGAACCTTTTCCTGCGAAACCTTTCTTAAATTCCGTACAGCAGGAAAAGGTTTCGTAGGAAAATACGAAACCTTTAGAGTTTCATATTAAACCCTAATAGTTTCGTACTAAACCCTCATGATTTCCTAGAGTTTAATACGAAACTCTAAAGGTTTCGTATTTTCCTACGAAACCTTTTTCTGCTGTACGGAACTTAAAAAAGGTTTCGCAGGAAAAGGTTCTTATCCTGGGTACACCGTAAGAACCTTTAAAGGTTTCGTAGATCTTTTTATCCTTTTTTTGAGACTTTCGACACCTTTGGATGCTTTTCGAAATCTCCGGAACCTTTTTTAGGGGTTCGGTAAAAAAACCGATTTTTTGTTAGAGTGTACGAGCATCTATTTCAGTCATAATAATGTAAAAGGAAGATAAGAACTAGTGAAACTTTTATGCTGTGTATGGCAGGCCGACTTATATATGTTTTCAAAAGATCAGCCATATTAGAGTTCAATATATTGATATATTTCAGAGATAAAGTGAAAAAAACGTTATTCTGTCATGCTTGGACAGGTCGATATATATTTTTAATATTTATGATAAAGACTATTTGAATGTAAACAAAAAAAATTTCGGAGGAAAGTTGTTTAGTTTGTTACATGGAAACTTTATTTAGTGGTTTAATTGATTATTTTCGTTAACATTAAAAATAAATTTACAACCGTTGGTGAGAACATAATGAATCTTTTGTGAAACACCATCTAAAATGAGTATAATAATGAAAATTTTAATCTCGCTACAGGTCGTGACATGCGTTGTTGGCATACAATCAAAGACTGTAAACTAATAATGTCTCATTCTAATATGTGAACAACTTCTTTATTGCATCCTTTGGAGATAAATACATTATAATACCACACGAATTATCTTAATAGTTTTTCTAGATCATATCATTCTCTTGTGACTTGAATAAATTTCAATCGAATATGAAGATTAAAACAATCAAATTCTAGAGAAAAAATAATCTTTTTTCTTTTACATTTAGGTTTGATGCAGTAACGAGGGGTGTGGATGTAGATGGTGCAAGGGTGTAGTTCTCTTGTCTCTTTTTACAACCACAACCCCACTTACATTCACAACCACACCTTTAGTTAGATAGTTAAATACATACATATATATATATATATATATAAACAAAATTACACAGAGTAATTTTCTTCTTCAGATGATGTGTAGGTGAATGCCTTCATCCTCACTTTGTTTTTAGAGTGTAGGAAAAGATTTTTCAAGGTTTTTGAATGATTATTTACAAATGATGAATTTTTTTGACGAATTCATGCAAATACAAAGTATAACAAACTCTTAATGAGTTTTCTGTTTTCATAAGCTCTATCGTCAACTTTCACACTGAATACTTGAAGTTTGTGAGCATGTGGATTTGTCTTACATTAAAGGTTTTTGGAAGAATTGTTGAGATGTTCATAAGTGGTAAAAATAGGTTTGTTGTATGTTGCACTTTGATCAACGTTTAGACCTTGATCGTTTGACTCTACTTTTCCACGTTGAGAATAATATCCTTCTGTTGCATATATACTCTTATCTTTCTTTTTTTTTCTTTTTCTCTCTCCTCAGTTCTGCTGCATTCTAATGATAAATCGATTATAAAAACAGTGTGTATCGATTCCTTTTTATCAGTTTTCAATCACTTCAAACTTGTTATATTTGCACGATGATTTCCATCCCATTGCTTGCTTCATTATTAGTTATCATCGGTTTTGCCGCTGCTAGCGACAAGGTATGTCCTGGCTATGGATTTGTAATGATGCCGGAAAAGTGTGAATCTACATGTTCACCCTACAAGGATGAATGTGGAAGTGGCAAAAAGTGTTGCTTTCGTATAGAACAACCATGTGGCCATCATTGTATTGTACCGAAAGACAATGTGAAAAAACCAGGTCTATGTCCATCATCTACATCCGTAAAGGATAATCCTCTATGGGGTCTTTGTGATGGACACATGTGTGACGTCGACAATGACTGTTCGGATGAAAATAAATGCTGTCCCAACATGTGTGGTTCTACAGTGTGCATCTATCCTGACTTTGTATAACGAAGACGAATGAATCGAGTGTATTGTTTGTTATCAACAAGAGTGTGTAGCTATGTCTTCAGTTTTCTTCTTTACTATAGTGTGTGTATGAGAGACATGTTTTTGTTACTTAACATCTGTTTGCTTTGTACTTGAGAGAATGAAAAAAATTTGAAGGAACGAATGATCCTTCTCGTCTCTCATTCTTGAAGGAGGAAAATAAATGTTTAGACGTGAGATCTACTTAATATAGACGACGGCAAAGCGCGAGATAAGCTAATCTTATAGTAATTGTGGAAACTGAAATCGCATAAACATAACAGTATGCAACGATGAAAGAATAATGTCTTCCAGTGCTTTTGAAAAACATACATCCCATGAGCACTAAAGTAAGAAATAAACTAACGTATTAATAAAACGAAAATAAACTTTAAGTATTATTTTGTAATAATTTTACTTTGCTATTTTAATTTTCATTTTTTTTAGCAACATTTTGATGTCATTTTCACCTGTTCTAGGTATCATCTCATCGGAATATTTGATGTCATAGTTTCTATTAATTATCCAGATGGATTCATCTTGAAGATACATTACAGAATGGTGCAAATTAGAAGTGATTTTAATCCAATAGTACTTTCCAAATCAAACCCAATCGATTTATGTATCAATAGAAAGAGCATCTCCGCCTAACTATTCTTTTAGAAAGAACTGGAAATATATCATATACTATTCTGAAGTTCTGGTTACGACAAACTTGGTTCGTGACCTCACAAGATCTTGTCACGTTCTTTTCTTATTCTCAAGGAATTGAGAGATGGCTATTATTGGATTTGAAATCTTAGTAATTAAATAGTAATTTGCACAAAAAAATCATTCTTCCAACTGTTTGTTAAGTATATGGGCAGTTGACTATAACATTGATATACATCGGTAAGGCCA